AAAACGTAAAAACTTAGTTTTTCTTGGGTAACATTGGTTTACTTTGAGTATTTTAACGCTTTTTTGGAATCAAAATTTTCAAAAGTTAAAAGAAATTCAAAAAACTAGAAAGAAATTTGCTTATTTTAGTATGACTGTCGAATATACCCAATCTCCAGTTTTTGTTCAGCTCCTTTCATCACACCACACCGAAAAAAACGACAATAATCCTTCAACCGGCACAGTAACCGGCTTCGGCTCTGTGTTCCAAAAACTATTCGATATGGATTAAGAGGCAGTCGGAACATTCAGGGCTTTGCCCTGATATGCGAGCAATCTTCTTGAAATCTAAAATTAAATTATTAATCTGTGAAAACTACCGGAATAAAAACGGTGAAAACTACCGGAATAAAAACAATTCTGTCTTTATTCTCGTTGATTATGTGTCAATACTTATACTCATTTGAGGAATATGTTCGGAACAAAAAAGATTTGAAAGCCGAACAAACGTCGTGTTACTGCTTTTCGGCTCTTCACCAAAGTTTTCAACCGTTCTTTGAACATTCTCGATTAGCTCAAGCTTTCAAATTGAAAACTATGTATTTGGGGACTATTGATACGGCCCATTTGCTTCGAACAACTATTGGGCTCCTTCCAAAGCGGTTTAAAAGAACTATCATACCACCCGCTTGTTTTGTTATCCGCTTTTGATTCCAAACTTAAACGGATATAATTTTTCTCAACCGGATCAAATTACTCGGATTGGAATCTTTCGAGGTATAACTAGATAACCTAACTTTGCTTATACAAGTTGAATTTTTGTTTAAGAATTCCATACTTGTTTATTTGTTCCAAATTTGAAGGGATTGAAAGTTTCTCAAGAATCTTGTTTGAAAATTACCCGTGAGGTTGTTCAGATTTCAATAGGCGTTTGAATAATTCGTTGTGAAGTTTCTCGATTTGTTGTTAAATGTCTGAAAGGGTTTCAAAGGTTTGCAAGGATTTTAGCCGAAAGAAAAAAGCAAAACGAAGCATTTTGCGGGTCGAATTAATTAAAGTAACCGTATTTTACAATTTGTTTTTGATGTTTCGGTCGGACCACCAGTGGATTTAGGTGGAGACCCCAACCCTCAGGGATTCGAACCCCTGCCGACCCAAATGGTCCCCTATTTTAAGGTATCCATTTTTTGGCTCTGACCATAAAATTTTTAACGCCTTTTGGCCTGTTTTTTTTTCAAAAATTTGCTTGCGGCGCAGAAAGTTTGGTCAAAATGGGGTATTTTTAGTGATTTGGGAGAGCTCAGAAAAGCAATTTGGTCGACCTAAGAAAAAGGTCGACAAAATTTTCGAAATTTTTTGGAAATCTCCCCCCTCGAGAAAATCCTAGATCCGCCCCTGTTTCGGACTTTTTTGTATGACTTTTTTGCATATGCACCATTGAAACATATACGCCATTTTTGGAAATCGTTCTTTTGAATTGCTAGATTTCAATCAAATCGAGTTGAGCATCATTGTGCTATCATACAAAATTATCATTTTAGCAAGTGCCGCTGAAGTGTGCGTTTCATCTTTCAATTGGAAATAAAGGATTCTTTTGATCTGGGAAAATGTTTTCCGGTTAGACTAAGAGTGGCTCTATAAAGATAAAATCGAAAGAAACCATGAAAATAAATCGTCTGAGCAAGCTGATAACTGTTAGGATTTTTTGTATAATTCAAAGAAAAATGATAAAAAAGACGCTGCTGAAAGTTTGAGCATATGAAATGATTGTAAGATCAAGTAATTTTTTTACTAGTGATTAACTCCCTTTTCTAATTATACGACAAGTTCTATGAGAATTTAATTCTGCCTTATTTTAGGAGTGTTTCGACGTTTTGACCGTCGTTTTCATATGTTTTGACCATAAATTTTGTATATCCTAAATGTTCCCTGCTTAATTGACCCGCATACCATCTGCATGGTTGCTTTTACAATAGCATGGCGTATCATCTTTGTTGATTTCATCCGCTTTTGTATTATTTGAGACCTACCTTTGTTGGTTCGCCTTTGATGTTTTATTAGGTTTTTCAGGAGCTTCGAGACCGATTGTTTCCGGCTCTCAAAAGAAGTGAAAAATTTGTCTAACTTCGATCTACTTTCGGTTATGAAATTTTGTGTCTCAATTTTCATTCTTCATTTGGTTTAGTTCTCATTCCTATGAAACTGCTACTTCCAAAATGATCTTTCCCAATTTTTCTAGATTTTTGTCAAAAATGGGCAAATATAAACAATGAATTATGATAAATTTTCTGCCAATTGGAAAACAGTTTCTGTAGAAAAATATCTCGAAAAAAATCGTTTTTTTTTGAAATTTTGTGAAGTTTTTGATTCCCAAAATGCCGCTAGAAAATTTTAAAAACTAACTATACTCGACTAAATGACCTATTGTAAGCCTACCATCCTTATGTTGACAAACCTTATTAACTCGAAGAAAGTAGACCAAAAATATGATATATCACTCGACCCATTCCGATGGTTATTTGTGGTACCCGATTTTGCGTGGAAAACCAAACAAAAAAGAAAAAAACTACAATTCACCCAAATACAAAATTCATCCGCATGTTTCAGAAAGTCGGAACAATTAAAATCATGGATTTATGGTACAAATTTTTTTGCTACCTTGTGTTCCTTGTGGTAAGCTCGTATATTGTGTATATTAACGTAGTTAAGAGTGTACTATATATGATCGGTTAGGAACGTATAGTCTATATGTCACTGATTGGAGTAACTTAATCCCCCAGCAAATAACCGCAGGGTTTATTCTGAGTTACCCTACCTGTATAGTTGGACTTTCCCTTGTCAATTTCACCCTCCTATGTGAAAGAATCTTGTCGTGTTTTAACCCTTAGTTCTACTATCAGTTAGTGAATAAAAGCTTTGGTTTAGTCACCATTTGCTATTATTTTTTTAAACAATTTCGCATTTTTTGTTCTTACCGGAAATCATACCTGGAGAGCGATCCAATTATAATTTAGTGCATCTACTATATAACAAGTTATAAGCTATACAACTGAAACTTATAACGAGGTACTAGTTATAAATAGTTATAATAACTGAGTGAACCCTATCTGTTTTATTTTATTACCAGCGGCGAATGGATCTCAGTGAACTACAGCAGCAATTATATTGGTTGTAAAGTTATATACACTAGACCGTTCAATTGAGCTTGATTTTCCCTTGGTGAAATCTAAAGTAATTGCTCCCTAGTTCAGAATTTCTGAATAAATTCAACAAAGTCCGTTTTTCTGTTTACAAATTGCGAAAGGCTCTCCCTGTAACTTAGGTAGTTGAGCTGTCTTTTATACTTATATCCTAGTTGTGGGTCTTTATTTTAAACAACCCTTACGTACGAAAACTGTTACTATCTGGAAATTGATTTGAAATTAAGGGTAAATTTTGAAAAGGTATTTCAGTTGTAACCGTTGTGCTATATTCCTTAGTTAAATCTCCCTTACCTATAGGATACCGTTAGACTGTAGACCTACCTCTATGACTAATACTTCTATTTCATTTTGCAATTGAACTTTCTGTTGGGGAGCACACCTAAAGAAAAGGAGGACATTTTGAGAAATTACCCTTCCCCATTTTCTCCCGTTTTATAATAAATTTTCCCACTTTGTGCCAATTACTGAAATTGTTATTGTTCTATTTCTTTTCTCGTATAAATTTATAGCCCTCTTTTTTTATTATTAAATTTAAATTAAAATAAATTGTTGCATGAAAAAAGGTGACAATTTTTGACTGAAGATAAAAAGCAAGAAACACTTTTTAGCCACTCCAATATTTAACTCTCTTCCTTGAGAGTGATTTTAAATTAGTTGACCTATTTTCGCCAATCAATCGAAACATTTTGCTTTTCCCTATAATTCCATTCATCTATTGAATTACAAATGTTCCTCTTTTTGTAGTAATTTGACCAAATTTCCGACTCATTTTGTCAGGAAGAATTGAAATAATGAGATAATCCCTAGTTGTTGGGTTAAAAAAAGGTTGTGAACTGAAATAGGCATTATATCACGCCTACTTACTCGTTAAATTACGTCACATTTTTTAGTCTTTTTCCATTAGACTTGTCAGGTTGTCATTACTTATTATTCCGATTTCAATACATTACTCATTTTTCCAGATGTTTTAAACCAAATTTTGTGGTACATTAGCTTATGTAATAAATTCTTAGAACAAATGATGGCGCAAAAATTCTTTTTAAATATTTATACAGCATTTTGGAGATAAAAACATTTTTTTCGGTCGCCTATTTTTATTTCTGCTGTGTGGATTAAAGACAAATAACGTCACAAATTTATTTGATTTATTGAAACACGCGCCATTGAAGCGCCTTACAATCTTAAGTTTCATATATTATTAATCATAGCTTACCGGTATTGTGAACAAATTACTACCAACCGTAACCATACTTCCTATAAAAATCTAGCCTGAATGATTCGATTCCTTGGTGTTATGGCTTGACGTACCGATCTTGTGTGCAAAGAAACTGCATAATTTACTCAAGTATTGCATTATATTGCTAGTTAACATTTTTCATCGTTGACAATTTGAAGATCATCCCACATAATTTTTTATTAGCCACAAAAAAGCTGCCGTTTGTTAAATCTACAATTTTATCTTGAAAAAAAAACAACTAGCATCGTCTGAAAAAAAATTCATTGAACGGTTTATTTTTTGTTCGAGTGATTTTTTTATTGGCGTTTTAAGACCACTTGATTGACAAAAATGAGTCATAGTTTTGCTTCTTATTAACAAATAAGAGCTTATTTTACAGTCAGAAACTCACCATAATCAGTCTTTTTTTAGACTGAAAGACGTGTCTTTAAATAAATCAAGCTTGTAAGACCGTCTGGCTAAAGCACCGCTGTTGAAGTTATTCGTTTTACAAGATCATATTATCAGCTACAATCCAATTAGTTAAAAATTGTGAACACTCGAAACCTTAAAATGTGGTCTTCTAGGTTTTGAAGCAACGAACTTTGTTTAATATCAACATTTAAAGCTGCTCAATTTTAAATTTTCCTATGGTCTAGGACAAGTATCTTATTTATGAATTTGATTATACAGTAAAAAGTCCATTGAACTGACAAGTTGAGTGAACCGTTTTCAGTTAAAAATTTCCTCCCTGTTAAATTTCCCGAACAAATAAAATCGAATTTACTTCTTAGTTTAAAGTAGTTCATCTAAAAGTGGTCATTACATTACGATTGTACTTCGAACAGTTGGTTATTAATAACTGGTTAATTAGAGAGTTCATTCTTTCTTCGTTAAAATGGCGCCTTCAATTTTACTCCGTAAATTTTTCTCTCACTCCAGATCAAATAGCGTTTCCTCTCCCACCCACAATTTCGCCCCAGCAGCGATGCCCCCTCAAAGTCCGCTACCCTCGTTTGACCCCAATTTTGACCCCAAAATCAGAGGTCATCAGTCTCCAAGACTGAACTCACCTGAAAATATCCACCAAGTTCGTCATCATGGAAATGTGAAAACAGCCTCGCTACCATTCGAAGATTTGTCTCAGAAAAGAATTTGCACAGATTTGGATAAGTTGTCACCCGGTGGCGATTATAACTCAGTTTTTGTAAGTGATTGTGATAGATGAAACATGCAAATGAATGGAGTATGTTTGTTTAGCTTGTTTTAATGATTGTAGTAAAAACTCTCGCTTAGATGGATGTAATGTTTTGCAAACTAAGCCTTAAGAAATTTCTCAACCTGAGTTTTTGACTTTTATATTTTCTGGTGAGATTTTAGAAAGTGGATTATATTCATTCACTATTTTGAAAAACGTACGTTATTGTGAGTGTCAATCACTGCGCTGTGACCATTTGGTCTTGTTTTGTTCATTTGCAGAGCCTCCGCTTGGTATTGATTTAATCTTAAGAAAGCAAATTTTGCCATCTTTTTTTAAAAAGCGTTTTTTGTTTCGACCATTTCACGAAATGATAGAACGGAATTTTGGCTTAGGGTGTGTTGTTCAATGAAAGCTAATAGGGATTTATGTTTGGAATCATATTAAATTCCTTTCAGTCATCCTTTCGATTGAAAAAATATGCCTCATTGTTCAGAAATATTGGTCTGCTTTTTTTCCGATTTCAAAATCAAATTCGATTTTAAAATTTTTTTACCTCATTTTTGAATTTTTTTAACCTTTATAAGTGTGGTGGTAAGATTCTGTGCTACTTCCACAGCAATTGGCTAGCCTTGTTTTGTTTGGGTTTTTTTCCAAACAATTTGCGCTTTATAGAAAAACTCGTAGAGGCGTAGTGTGGTATCATATTTGAGTCCTCTTAGTGGTGATTTGCAGCTTGAAAAGATAAACTCAAATATTTGCAGTGTAGAGAATAAACTTAGTTTTTTTCTGGCATTAAGACTGAAATTAACGATTGTTTTTCGATGCCCTCTTGTTCTCAGTAAGTTCAGCAAAAAGGAATTTTTATTTCTGATTTTTACAATGACTGTTTTGGTCTGGAATTTTGTGCTAATGATACAGTAATCAACTTTTTTTGCACAAGCAAACGTTCGTTGTTCCGACTTTCGATACGAAAGTAACGGAATATTTGTGCTCGGGGTGGGTTTTTTTTTTTCTTCAGACAAATTTCGACTTTTTAACTAGCCTTTTTTGACGGAATTTTTTTATATCGTTCAAAAGGTATTGTTGTCTTGAGCTCAACTTTGAAAAGATATTTCACCTGTGATTATTTTTCGTAAAGTTATGGGGGTTTAAAGATTGTAATTTTGGCCAATTTGGGACAATTAACGCGCGATATATTTCGCGCTATTAACGCGTAAGCGGAGAGTTAATCCGTCTTAGAAATCGTTCCAAGTTGGTTAAAAGAAGCTTATTCGCCATAATTGGTTTGTTACAAGGAGCAAAATCTATCCTTTCGTACTTTGTATGGCGTGTGGGGGGATGATTTTCATAAAAAATTTCAAATTTTAGAAAAAAAAAATTTTTCATTTTATTTTTTCTTACATTTGATTTTTTAATGTTATTACTGCTCCATAAACCTTAGAAGGCAGTCGGAACAATCAGGGCTTCGCCCTGATACGAGCAGTCTTGTTTTATTTACTTTCACTTTTTTTTCAACCTGGGCAATTTAATAGACGTGTTGTATGCGATTTATTGTTGACTAGTCTTTGAAGACAGGCGGTGTGACGCTGCTAGAAGGCCAGTATACTCTGCTGCATTAACGTAGTACAGACTCTTTTATAGGTCGTGATGATTTTTCCTTTCGTTTTTTTTTCAGGAAAAGTCTAAAAATTTATTCAGACTCAACTTTAATTTTTCGTGGTTTGTTTTTGATTTCTTTTTAAGTTCTGTTCATTTCCTTCGAAAAGCAGAAGTGTAAGGTAATGAAAACCGTGATTGACTTCTAGTTATCTCTTCTATACAATTAATGTATATGAATTTTGGCAAAAATATCATTTATGATTTTTAGAGTAAAGTTTCATTTCTAAAGCAATCTTAACATGTGTTGAGTTTTTTGTTTTGATATTTGTGAAACTTTTGAAAGCAGTTGGATATCGTTGTTGCAAATTGTTCATCTTTTTTCAATACCAGCTATGTGAAACTTCAGTCGGCACATTTTTTTAAATTAGCTAATACCTGAATTCACATATTTTAAATTCAACAATAAACTGCTAAGTGTTCGTTTTTAATGCATCAATTCGGCAACGTGGAAATAAAGTTTCTGTTTTATTTCAGTCAGCTCAATATGCTTCTTCTACCTCGACGAAACCAGCCCCAAACTTCACCCAAATCCCTCCGACCAATCAGCGATCAGCAAGTGCAAACACGCCCCTCACAGGCGCAGCGTCGAAGCGCAAAAAGTCCTTCTTGCCGAGTTTCAGGGATAGGCTAAACACTGTAACTTCAGGTGAAAAATCATCATCAACAAACAACAACAACAATCACTCAAATGTCAACAACAATCAGAAAAACAGCTCAGGAAACCAACAAGAATCAAATTCAGCCTTGAAACATAATAGTGCTAACAGCTCGAAGCATTTTGCAGAAATTAATCGCCAGCAGCCCAGAGAACCGAGAATAGGTGATATTGTTTATTTCGGCGAGTTGAAGGGAATCATTCGGTACATTGGGACGACTCATTTTGCGCCTCAAAATGCAATCTTTTGTGGCCTTGAACTTTATACGGCTAGTGGGAAAAACGACGGAGCGGTTGAAGGCGTCAGATATTTTCAGTGCCCGTTTAAATTTGGCCTTTTTGTGTCAGTTGACCGAATTAGTTTTACACCGTGCAAAGAGCCAACTAGTCCTTCGAGAAAAAGCTCTCAAAATATTGCAATACCTCAACAAACCAATACGAATGCAGTTGATTTGAAAACCGAAGTTAAGCAAAAAACGAGCTCGTTACGTGATCATACGAGCTATTTTGGAAGTTCGTACGTTAGAAATGATTACCCACATATCGATTGTCAAAATCAAATTGATAGTAAAAGTTTCAGTAATGGAAACTTGGATAAAAATACGACTTCAAATGCTCCAACGGCAATTAATTCACTGAAAGCGGCAAATAGAAATGCTCCGAAAACGCCGCCTTCTTCAAATCGGAAACATTTTTTACCAGTTCATCCACAGTTTCTCAGAACCCAAAGTGTACCGAAATTGCCGACTGGCGATGTTATTAATGCAAATAATGTGCCTTCAACTAGTAATGCGATTTCGCCAATGGCCAGAGAAGGACCGAAAATTTTTGAGTCGAACCAAACCAGTCAAACTGGAGTGAAAAATACTGGTGGAAGTTCTAATGTTGAGCCAGCGAGTGGTATGAGTAAAATTGAAAGGTTAGTAAAAGAAAGATAAAATCTATAAATTGTGAATAGTTTTTTTTCTAAAATAGAGAAGCATGTGTTTTTTTAAAGCATGCAATGTTTATTCATCCGAAAACATTAAAGTTGCGTCGAGAAAATCAAATTCGTCTTCCCAGCTACCCATTTTAACATTTGAAAACATAGGAGCGCCCCGCTTTTTTTTCAATGCCAATTTTTCCTCCCTAATTTAGGAAAATTGTCGAAATGTTTCTTAAGAAATCGTGTCTTAGCAGGCTCTTAAAGTCTGTTTACCATTATAACTCCAAGAACCGCCCCACTGTCAGCCAATTTTTGTCCCAAATACAAAATTTTACTCGGATGTGCTTTAATTTTCTTTCTACTAGCTGGGTTGGCTATCATATGAAAAAGCCAATTGACTTGGAGTGTGCACAATTCTTCTGGACTTAAAACTCCATTAATACCTCAGTTTTCAAACTGCGCATTTGAATATATGATAAGGGTGCTAAAATAACAATAGATGATGATGATGACTGTGTCTTTATATTGTAATTTGTAGGTTCTTGAGACCAAGGAATTCACGTGGGAATGTATCAAAAGTGGGAACAGCAACTGGTGAGGGTGGAGCAATGGGGGGATCTCAGAGGAACAGTTTGACAGAGGTGCAGATGTTGCTCCCCAAGCAGAACATGTCGGATTTGACTCTGCTGATTAGAGACAAACAAATCCAAAATGGAATTCCATCCACGCCGTTGGGTAAGTTGAACTTAATCATGGCAGACTACGGCAAAATGGATGACATCGATCTGCTCCACGGACTACAGTAAAGACAAAAATATTAGAAAAGAAATAGAGCCGGTAACAAATTTTTAATGTTTTTGGAAAACTTGTTTATCATGGTGACGCAACATAATTTTTTCAAGTGTGAATAAACCAGCCAAATTTAAATTTTTGTTGAAATCTTCTGTAATTTTTGTAGATGTAATGTAAGACAGTTGTTACAAAATTCTTTTATAATTACTTGGTATTATGGGCTTGTAAAAAAGGTAGGTAGCTGTTTTATATTTCGACTGGTTTAAATACCACGTTTTTCGCAATGAGCTAATAAGCTCGTGTTTTGGTCCTGTTCATTGTAGTTAAATTGTCACAAGCATGAGAAAAAAAATCGAGGAAAAAATGGTTTCAAAACTCGAATATCCAGTTAGTGTACTTGATGCAATTTTTTTAACCAAAATCTTCAAAATTATTAACAAAAAAATGGCAGATTTGCTGTTTAACACGTGAGATTGCACGCTTATAAATATAAAAGTTTTGATCAATTTCAGGTGATGGCAGCCCAGGCAGTGCCCTCCGCCAAGCCCAGTACCTCTTCACTTGTCCCAGCCCCACCCCTGATATGATACTCGGAGGTGGAAGGGATGGAGGCGTGCAGTTGGAAGTGGCAACTGAGACATATGTGATAGAGAGTGAAGACATGTATTATGGTGGGGGTAATAATAGTCAGACTCTCACGCAGGTGGAACATAGTCCAGGTATGTACCTTCATCCAGATAATACATAAACCAAGTTTCATACCGTAGCCAGTGCATTTACAAGGTTGTCGGATCTCTTTAACTAATTCCCCCCCCCCCATGCGACCTTGTAAAGAGTATCCACCCGTGTAAACAGTTGATGAATTGGTTAATCATGAGAAAACTTTGTACCTATTGTAGCGAATTGCGCCCTTTTGACATGTTTATATGAAGACCAAATAACGTGTGATTCTATTCAATTAGGCACCCAAACAAAAGGTTTTTATTTAGTAGAACCGAGTGCATCAGCCTATATAAACTGAATATTAAAAAAAAACATTCAAAAAAAGAAGGCTTAGTTTTCGTGAGCGAGGTATGAATTTCGAGATGTAATTGTTTGCAAATTTTTGTTATCGAGTTAACTACCCTGAGTTTTTTTTTCCTTTTTTTTCAGTACAACAACAATCAGAAGCAAACTTTGACCAAGAACCAAATCTGTCTTCCAGCAACATATTCGTGAACCGAATCTCCCCGGAGGAAAGTAATTCTGACAAGATGGAGAACTTCCTTGAAACAATCCCTGAAGCCGAAAACTCAATGGCAAACACCTTAGATAGATTGGGCGATCGACAATCGATAAATTCCGAAGAAAGTTGCTGCATACCATCAAGGAGAACATCGCCTGACGGGAGTTGTGACAATTCTTTAAACAACTCAAATTACGCAAGCAGGAATCAGATTCTAGCTCAGCCTATTGTTGTGAAAAGTCAGTTTAGTGATAATTTTAAACTAGGCGCGTTAGATGAAGATTTAAAAGGATCGAAAGACACGCTTTCGGGTGATGAAAATATCGAAGATCGCTGCTCTGAATTGATAAATTTGAATCAGTTAAAGAACGTGGACAAAGTAAAGGTAAAAAACAACAGTGTGAAAACTTGTTTTGAATCAAAATACGATCACGCGTGCAATAATTTCTACAGTCCAAGTCCAGAATTGCCGAGGTCATTGACATCAAGTTGCAATAACCTGTGCGACAACGATGGAGACGTCAGCAATTATGAAAACGAAGAAGAGGAGTTGAATTTCGATGACAACTTGTTAGCTAATCGTTCGGCTGTTTTTTCGTCTAATCAGTCGGAACTTTCGGACGAGGATGAAGAGGATCCGTATTGTTTGTTGAAAGAAGGAGCTAAACGAATGGAACCGGATACCATTTCTGATGGTTTGTTTCTGTTCTTTGTTCATAAAAACATGTATGCTGAAATTGTATGGGATCGGGTTTTATCTATATTATTTATTCTTTTTTGAGCAAAACTCGCTTCGGAAAATTTTTTCTCTAATCTGAAACTTTTGATTTTTCCCAAAAATTTACTCTGCCGATTTTTAAAAAAGTGGTAACTTTTACGCGATTATTTTTAAGTGATTATTTTACCAAAAAGATTATTTTTCTTGAAAACTAACCTCCCAAATCTGAAATTTTGGGTTCAATAGAGGTAATGGGTTGTGGGTAGCTGCCCTGCATCAGTGGCTCTGCCCAATTTTTTCCCAGAAAAGTTATCGTCTTTGGAAAAATCATCTTTGTGACTTTTCGACCGTTTTTAAACTTTTATTTTTTCTCGACAAGTACCCTTGCAAATCTGAGATTTTTGATTAAATCGGAAGAACAGGCTGTGTGAAACTTTTTGACATTTTGGAAAACTACTCAGTGGAATCTGAAGTCAAGGATGTAATCGAGGTAGCAGGTTGCGGGAAGCCTCCGTTTATAAGTGAAATCGCCTTAAAGATTGTGAGAAAAATGTTTTGTTTTTTTTCGGGAAATTTCCAACTTATCAAAATTGTCCTTCTTACGTAGTTCAGACTTTTAGAAGGTCCTGATTTTTTTTGTTTTTTTTTTCAAGAAATGTCATAAAGTTTTTTAAGCTCAAATTTAATTTTCGAACAGCGAAAGTGTAGAGGTCACGAAAAACGTGATCAAAGATGGCATTTAATTTTCAGATTTCCTAGGGAATCAATATATTTTTTGATTGATCCGTTTTCTCGAATTGGTAAATAAAACAAAAAAGTTTCTATCATAAATTGTTCTACAAATTCCAAGAGAGTTAAGGCCATGTATGTTTTTTCTTGGAAAGTTGAGATTTTTTTCAAAACAAGTCATTTTTTTCTGTCTACCTGCGTTTATTGACTTTTTTCCAACTGTCTATTGGCTAAATTTTTTATAGGTTCTGGGAACTCTCCGTGCATAAGATACTGCGCCTCAAAGTTTGTACAAAAAATTATGACTCTGGAAAAATTATAATCTCAAAAAATTCCAATCATATTTTAATAGCAACAACTAAGATTTTGCATGAAGCCCGATTTTTGAAATTACCTATATCATTCCGCATCAGTACAACACACTCAGAAATATTTTAAAAGGTACCTCCCTCCAGCGTTAGCTGGGTCCCAGTAAATTTTAGCGAGGATGTAGTTCCTTTTTGTCTTTCCTAGACAATAAAATAAGATATTAGTTTTACCAAGATATTCCATTTTTCAAGGTTCTGTTCATCAACGGCGTTGCACTCTATAAATTAAACACTGTAAGAGATACTAGTCTGGTAGGCTATTTCGAGTGGAAGCCTAATTCCCGTGGATCTATAAGTGCGTCCTGGTATGATATCCAGTCTGAATTCCTAATCAAGTCTTATGAAGACGACTGTTTTCTGACTTTGAAATAGAGCGACACCGCGTTCTTTCAGTTTTGAATCTCAACTATTCTAATTGGTGACTTACAAAGTCTCGATATAATAAGCAATCAAGGCCGAACATGAATATGGCTTACATGATAACTTGGATATAGCACCAAGATTAAAATTGAATCAGTTTCATAAATATGATACATTTTCCTACCGCAAAACAAATGGCAATCAACCACTTAAAAATTGATTTAGCAATCTGTTTGTAAATTTAAAGAAAAAAGTAATTTTTTCTATTATTTAAAAGCGCATTTATTTTTTGATCATACATTTTTTTCAGTATTGGCGTATATATTAATGTTGAATACCATTTGTCCGCAAGCAAATAGAAGAATCAATTTTTGTAGCTCTAGCATAAAACAGATGTCGATGATAATAGAACAGTGTTTTCTACTTTAAATTTGCGTTAAGCATTCCTTGGTGATTTTGACGAGGATACGAATTTCTAGTGGAAATTTAAGTTTCCTTCATTTCGTGTTTATTATATATCGTCCATTTTGTTATAGATTATCTCAACTCAACAAGGTCGTCACCATTCGGTGCCAACAGCGAGCAAAAGTATTCAAGTTGGTCTTCGAGCCAATTTGTGTCTGAAAAAGAATACGAAATAGTTCAAGACGATATTTATTCGAGCAACGAACTCATTTTGAAACAGCCAAGTTCAGATGAAAACTTAGTTTGCTCACCAACAGAACATGACCAAAATAGTTTTCAAACGCAGTATATTGATGTGCCTTCATTAGATTCGGTTACAAAAGTTCAACAACGTCAAAATGCGGAAAAAGGGAAGGACTGCAAATTTGTCAAAAATTACACCAAGGAAAAGAAGCTCCTTAATAACGAAAGTGCACGTATGGGAATGGCTAATGCTCAAATAGTGGTTTCTAATAAGGAAATAACGGTAAAAAATACAGACAGTGGAATTGAAAAATTTAATAATGGTAGAATCTCGGCTCAGGAAAATATCGATGGTGGTTTTTGTAGTGAAAAACGCGGTACAAATGTACAAGCCAAGCAGTCAAATACAGTTACAAGCAAAGCAAATAATTCAAATAGCAGTAGCTCAAGTAACTCAGCTCAAAACAGCGAACACAGTGGAGTTTCCTCTGCTTTAAAACCGCCATCGTCTTATAACAACGCAAAAATTATTAAAACTACTACTTCAGATTTTCAAAATAAAACTACAAATAATCAAGAAAAATCTTCATCTGCGAGCACAAATTGCATTTCTGCGTCTAACATACCGGTTAAGAATCAAGGATCACCATCGCATCAAAAATTTGGATTTATTCCGAAGGCCCAACTTGCAAATAGAGAGTTACCACCTTTGCCTAAATCAACGAATTTTCAAAATAAATCGAATGTAGAATCGAAGTCGAAAAGAGGTCAAATACTCCCCAAGGAAAATAAAAGCGAACAATTGAATTGTCAAAATAAATCTGAAGAGACTGTTTTAAGCAAAGCATTTGAACTGAACCAGAAATCTGAGAGGAACGATCAACATTACGCTTACATAGCTGAAAATACAGATAAACGATATAGTGAATTAGAGTTGCCTTCGCCGAGCTTAATTTTTGACCAAAGTAATGAGAATTCAAGCAATGAACGCGATTCTGGTCGAAAATTAACGAGTAATTATCATTTATCGGAAGATGAGAAACTCGGAAAAACTCAACTTGAAGATAAAGTCGACGAAAAAGTCGAATCACAAGACGAACTTCAAGATACAGATGATGAAATATTGAGAAATGACCCAGCAATTGTGAGAATACCCAAAAAGAAGTTCAGTTTACCCAGCTTGGGTTTAGAAGGCAATAAACAAAGTGGTCTGAAGTCGCCGTTGTCGATTGCTCCGGTTGATTACATCAGATCCGTTTCAGCCAATCAGGAATCAACAATCTCAGCAACCAATCAGGAAACATTAGCTTCAACTGCCAATCAGAATCAAGAGATCCAGTTAGATGAAGCAATGGTAGTAAATTCTGGAATGTCAAAATCAGGGCAGAAAACATCTGGAGTCGGGGGAGTGAAAAGGTTAGGAGGTGGGGGTAACAGCGCGTTGCCGCCTCCGCTGCCGGCGAGACATCCGAAGTTAGCCAATCCGAAACCTATTGCCGTTGCTTCTTCAAAGTCTGATCAGGTAGGATCAAGAATGTTTGAATTAAGTTTTCGTTTTTAAGAGTAATGAACTTTAGTGAGTACTCTTAGGTAGGTCTTGGTGATTTTTTTTCAGGAAAGTCTTAAAATTTTTTCACGCTCAATGTTGATTTTTCGCGGTGTGACTTGTGATTTCTTTTTAAGTTCAGTGCTTTTCCATTGTTAAAAGGAAGGCAAACTCCACTATCGTACAGCAAAAGTGTAAAGGTCACAAAAAACGTGATCGACTTCTAATTTCGACGATTTTTTTCACAGTTTCCTTGCGTTTATTACTCTTTCAGGTTTCATTTTGAACTAGTCAGTTTTTTTTGATTGTGACTTTTTGGGAGTTTTCGCTTTTCATTAAGTTTACAACTTGTCTTTTGTTTCGAAAATTCACCTATCGACTTATTTAAACTCTTCCAACTGTCAGTTGGCTATGTTTGATTTGCGGTATTGATTTTTCTCCAGAAGCAACAAGTTGTCACAAAAGTTACATCGGCTGCCAACGAACTGGTCAAATCAACAAATGCAGACCTGAAAGCGAGCAAGATTGCTCAGCCAAGAAATCTCAACTCAACTGCAGCACAATCTCAGGGTATTCCCAAACCAGGTAGCAAAGCAGAAGGTGGGAAAAAGAAATCAGTACAGGAAAACAAAAATGGCGGCAAAGGTCAGTCGAACTATTGTCTTGTTACAATTGTTATCGAAAAAAAAAGTTGTTGGCATATCCAATTTTTTTTTATATTATTGAAATTTTTTGAGGATTTTCCCAATTATTACATAGTTGCAATTTATTTTAAAGCTGTTCAGCTTAAATAAGCAAAAAATAACGTATTTTAAAAGTTAGAAAGTTTTGGATCTTGTTAACTACCCCCCCCCCCCCTCTTTTGGACCTTGTTAACTATTCTCCCCCTATGCATGTATTATTTTTGACAACCTGTATAAAATATGCATTTCAAAAATGTCAACAATTATGTGGCCGCCAAAATTGAATTTTGAAAATCGAAATAGGGGGGAGGAGGTAATAGTTAACAAGATCCAAAAAAAATTTTAATTAATTTTTTTTTCGTGAATCGATATCTTTTTCTACTTGATGAAGTATTCAATTCCCTTTACTGTTCAGACACTTCCCAGCTCCCTACGAAAATCCAAAGCGGCAAACCAATTCCTAACAAGAAAGAATCCCTCAATGTTGACTCATCAGAAGAAGTTGGCGTGAACAAACCAGAAAACCTCTCCATACTTGACCTTGAATCCATTCAGAAGAGTCCCAGTTTGTCCTCCTGTAAGTAAATTGGGTCTTGATTAGTTTGAGAGAGCTCGTAAAAGTGCTAGGAGGTTGTTATGGGAAAAACATCAATTACCCCAAAAAAATCAGTCAAAACTTTTGAATAATTTTACCCCCCCCCCCCATCAGAAAATCTTAGATCCAACCCTGCTTGTGTATTATGCATGTCAGTTTTTACCACATAAATCAATTTTCGTTCAAGCAGTTTGAATATTATCTAGTGCAGTGTTCAACAAAGCTGCACTAATGCACTAGTAACTCGATGCAAATTAGGGACTTATGCTCAAGTAATTATTGCCATCTTAAAACTATGCACTAGATAATACTTGTTCTGTTAACACATAGTTTTTGATCAGGATCTATTGCAATCTGATATGTTCTAGTATCGAGCATCAAAAGCACAGATCGGTCAGTGTCCAGCGCAGTTTCAGCAAACAGCAGGAAAGCGGCACCTCCAAAATCATCCAAGTCAATCATCCCAACCGCAACAGGTAAGTTCTAGGTCTTCGTTCAGATCCTTTCATCACCACTGACAACAATAACACCATTTGAAAAAAAAATAACGTATTTTTATCACCGTGATCGGAACTTTCTGTGCTAATTGAATTGCTTGAAATGAGGAAATTTCTGTTCCTTTTTTGCAAAGGTATCCATGCTTACTCTGAAATTTCGATCATTTGCCAAATCCAAGCTCACTTCTGAAAACGCAATTAGTGTTTAAAAGAACGAAAAATTTATTTCTTCAAGGCGTAAAGAAAGGACACTGAAGAACTTGTCTCAAAATTGTTTATGAAAGGAGAGGATAGACAACGGGCAACAGGGATTCAAGCACCTAAGTTATCAACACATTGACAATAAAAGCTTGAAAAAGGACGCCAATATTCTGTTCATTTGGGTGTTTGGTTTTGCTAATTTCTATTGATTTTTTTAGGTGGAAACGAAAACGACGTAAAGAAGTTAGCAGCTCCTATAGCCTTAGCCGCCAGACCTCTTGCAGTTCCCGATTCGCCTGTGATGTCTAGAAAGAAAAAGGCTCCAATTGGACAGTCGAAACTCGCTGGGACTCCGAACCAGAAGCAACAAGGTGTCCAGAGGAGAAATAAGGAAGCACGTTCAAAAGGTATGTGGCAACAATAACCTTCCTATAGAAACGGTTTTGTCGAATTGGAACTAAAAGTTATGGAAGAAATTCTCTAAACGATATTAGCGAACGAGTTTGTCACGACAAGAGTCTATCAGGAACCCTGTTCCCTTTTGTCTGATAAACCTTGATTGGATCAAATATAGAAGTTATTGAGAAATTGCATATCTAAAGGGCTATAAATTTCAGCCTTTTCCCTCTAATGTCTCCTCTCTCCCGCAGATTTGAAGTTAAAATTTGTACAAACCATTTTATATGGGCATAATGCAATGAAATTTTTCATTTTGAACAAACTAACTAATGCTTCTTACTTTACATCATTGTTACATCAAGCAATTAGCCACAACAACAAACACTCAAAACAAAAATGAAAATAGAAATTTTGAAATATGATCGAAATTGGAATAGAGCTAAAAGGTCTCAATCTCTTTTAGAAGAGACAGAACTGCAGCAAAAAGAGACTGAAGTGTCTCGTCTGTCCCTTCAGCTGGAGGAGAAGTGTGAACAACTGAGAAGATCCACATTGGCACTGGAGACTTCCAACCAGGCTGTGGATGTGTTCTCAGTCCTCATCCAGCACATGACTCAATCGGTCAGTGGAAGCCAAATGATCTCTGTTGGTATTCAAGTAGCCGTAAGATGATTGAATATAATTACAAAATAAATTCCATTTAAATATATGTAATAAAATGACGATTTTTATAAAAACCAGTTAAGTATTCATTCGCAATACTTGACTCAATCGCCCAGTAGATACTTTTGACCGAATCCAAAAAGGATGGCTTTAATGCTCTGTGAAAAATAAATGCTCATGCCTGGGGTGCATTTGAGCAAATTGATTTTTAAAAAACACGCCAAATTTTAGATGGATGCCTTCTCTGTGCCTGAACTGAAGAGAGAACTTGCCAATCTACATGCAGCCTTGGAACAATCTACTGACTCAATTGGTTAGTTCATACTCTTGTTTTTTTTATTTAAGCGAGATTGCGAGCCAATTGTTATGTTCAGTTTTTTTTTCAACCAAAGTAGCTTATTTCAGTGCTAAGCTTTTGTGCTAAGTAATGTTTTTAATATATAGGGAATATCTTATTATCTTTTGATGATATGAACCCTCTGAGCTTGAATGAAAAAGATATCTACCTCAGATTTTCCGTAAAGTTTGGAGGTTTGAAAAGTAGCGTTTTGTCAATTTGCTGGAGTAAATGTTGCGCAATTTTTTGCACTTTATATTTGACGCGCTCAAGTATTTTTGAGCGCTGCGGTTCAATTCAGATTTCAAAACGCTCAAATAATCATTCCAATCTAATTTGCGGCAAACTATGTGTTGCTGACAAGTTTCCTACCCGAATCATTTTTTCTAGTTCTTGTTCCGACTTTCGTAGCGAAAGTAATGGAATATTTGTGCTCGGGGTGGTTTGTTTTCTTTTCTTTAGACAAACTTCGACTTCTCTAGCCATTTTTGACGGATTTTTTAATATCATTAAAAAGGTATTGTTGTCCTGAGCTTAAATTTGAAAAGATATTTCACCTGTGATCATTTTTCGTAAAGTTATGAGGGCTTAAAGATTTTCACAAAAAATCTTAAATTAAAAAAAAATTCATTTTATTTTATTACATTTAATTTTTTCATGTTATAACTGCTCTATACATCTAAAAGGCAGTCGGAACATTCAGGGCTTCGCTCTGATACGAGCAGTCTTGTTTCTTTTTAAAACTGATTGTTTTTCTTGCAACCTTTGCCTTTTTAGAGCCATTTTTTTTCTTTTGCTTGCGTTTGCCACGTGAAGTTTCGCATCTGTGTGCTGTTTTTAAGTGTCAATGAACGGATATAGTTTTTCGGAGTAATGAACACAGTGAAGATTTTTCGCTGCTTAATTTTCGATTTCTTTTAAGTTCACTTTATTTCCTTTATTAAAGGAAGGCAAACTCCACTACCGAACAGAAAAATGTAAATGTCACTGAAAACGTGATCGACTTCTAATTTCGAAAATGGAAGTTAATTATCAGATAGTCCAGGCTAAATATACATTTTACTTATTGTTCCAGTTTTCTCAAGCTGGCTTATTTTTTATCAAAAAAGTACCAAGCATAAATTTATCTTGAAATTCAAAGAGCTTGAATGGTATAAATTTTTTTTCTGATTCCTTGCGTTCATTTCTTAAGTGTAATTTTCAGTTGGCTATGTTTGTACTTGAGTCGAACTTTTGATCTATATGTTGAAACATTATGCAGAAGCTGACACTTTTTTGGTCCGGAATTTTATGGATTTTGAAACCTAACCCAGCAAGCTTAGCTGCCCAGTTTGTTCTATAGAACGATTTGACTTAAAACTGAAGACTGAATTTTCAGCACAAAAATGGACAAAACAAAATTGATTTATTGAAAATCTCTAATAAATCTTGCTCAAATTCTGTCGTAGTAAGTTTTTGTTTTTGATAGCATGTAGCAATAGCATATTTATTGGCTGAAAGTTGCTGAGGTTTATAATATAGCTAGTTTGTCATTCGAAGGTTTCAATTCTACCCTCTGAAATTTCAGCCTGATATATTTCGCCAAATTGAACTCTGGTAGATAAACTCTTTAAATTGACCGCATAAACAGCTATATACAGAAGATGAAATCTATTGCAAAATGTTTCGGTATTAATTCAAAGAAGCAAGATAAGCAAGATACTTCATTTGATCATCATAACAGTAAGTTTTGCTGTATAAAAACAACGATAATTATTTGGTTGATTGACGCAAATTTTTGTTTTTTACATTAAGAAAAGTTTTGAAAGACAGCTAAAAATTAGTTGTCCACATGGGATAGCAATGCTTAATTAGCTGCTCATTAGTTGACGGATAACTTCTATTTTGCCTCTGATTTGACCTATACTTGCTAATTTTAATTTTTTTCCTAGGCTTGTAAGTTTTGCTTCACCTGTCAGTAACGAGCACAGTTTATAGTGAGCTTAGAAATTTCGAATGATAAGTGGAGACATTTGTCACCTTATCAATTTTGAGAACATTTTCAAAATATCCATCACATTAATCTTGTAATTTTTTCGATTATCTGTTTTGACATTGTCGAAATAATTCCTTTCATGTTTTGGTAGTTGTTCATGGGTTGAACGCAGTGATACCTATTTGAAAATCATAAAAATTTAAATTATTCAAAAAATATTACAAAAATTGTTGGCGTGAGTTTTAAGTTAAACTATTTATTTTTTCTACGAAGTTGCTGGTCTATCGTAATTGTACAAGTTTAATTGCACCAACTGTACTTTGAGGTCCATTTGATTCGACTCATTTCTGTTTTGTAGATGCTGCGAACAATGAGATCAAACAACTGAAGGTGCAACATGTGTCTAAAGTGGATGAGATTGTCACAGAACACAACAGGAAGATCGAAACTGTGAAGAACCAACTGCAGCTGGAGTTTGATGACCTAGCAGAAGAGTGTAAGTTCAGCTCGCAACATTTTCGTGTAAAAGAAGAAGGGGCAGATCGTAGATATGTCATTTTCTCGGGGGGGGGGGAGGGGGTAGAGGGGGAGGGGCGGTCTTTCGAAAAGTTTTTGATTGTTCAAGCATGATATTTGGGCATTTTCCAACCCCCCTATACTTCCCGCCTGCTTTCGCAAATCTTTTCGCTCTTGGGGTATATCTTGAATCAGTTCATTGCTAATTTAAGGTGGCCTGGTTAATATTTTTTTAGACCTCGATAATATTGACGAAGTTTCACTACAAATAATTTGGATTTTTAAAATATTTTTAAGTACAATTGTGAGTGAAGTTATTAGAAAACTTTAAAACATTTAAGTTCAGGCACGGTTTACAATTTGTCCTTCTTGGGTGGGGAGGGGCGTGTCACCCTTTTCGCCGAAGCCGTTTGCACCTTGCGGAGGCTTCAGATAGCGTAATTGTCAAGCTTTGATCTGACAACTGTTATTTTTGAGACTCAAAATCTTTTATAAAAATTGCGTATGGCCAATCTTAGTAAAATTAATGTAATTAACTAAATGTAAAACTAATAAGCGTGATAGTAAAATTAATGGGATCAACATAAACACTACAAAAACGAATGAATACTATTTCACTCCCATTCATTGTTTTTTTGGTTAAATTGAGTTATGGTTTTTTTCCAGTGCGCAGCTCTCACGAAGAAGACAAGGACTTCCTCATAACAGAACAGGAATTGCAACTATCCCAGCTGAAAGAATCCCACCAATCAGAGTTGGAGGAGATAGTAGCCAATCAGGAGGCAGTGATTGAGCAGTTGGAACAGCAGCACAAGAGTGAATTGAATTTGTTGAATGATCAGTATACGGAGGATATTACGAGTACACAGTTGATATCGTCACAGACTATTCAGAAACTCAGGGTAAACCTAGTTCATAATGATGTCTAGAATCGGCTAATCAGTTTCTTTTTCAGTTAATTGAAAGTAATTTTTCGAAGGCATCAGTTTTAAGTGTTAAAAAACGAAGTGAATGTTCATTTTTTGGTCGTTCTCTCGCTTGTTTACTCGTTCTACATGATAATTCAGCATCAGAATAATATGTAGCAAAAAGTTGAAACGGACAGATATAATTTAAAAGAGCAATCTGCAAGTTTTGAGCAATTTTTGCATGCAAATTTGAAGTTCTGGGTGATCTTTAGTTATACTTGTCTGAATAATTACCTTGTGTTTTTTTTTCCTGAAAAATTAGTTTTTGCTTTCAAAAATTGTCAGAAGTAGGCCAATTGCTTTTTATTCATTTTGTCTGTTTCAAATTTTTGCAACTCACTATAAAAATGACTTTGTTGCTTAAAATTACTGCATAATAACTTATGAATGAATAATGCATCGGATGGATCATGTTAACTATTCCCCCCCCCCCCTATTGCAATAGGGGTGGGAAATAGTTAACAAGGTTTGGATGAAATTTATTGAAATAACGTCAACCAATAGGAATGCGAATTGAAATGACGTCAACCAATAGGAATGCGACAGAACACATTTCTGAAAAATACAAAACCAATCCAGCTGAGCATAAATGAAATGTGTTTTTATAGGAGGGAAATTCTTTACAAGGTACCATAGGGGAGGGAAATAGTTAACATGATCCCATCGGTTTTGTTTCGATTAATTCAAGTAGGGTTTGTTTGCTTGCAGGATCAGATCAGTGAGCTTGAGGAGAGGAATGGGGGGTTGAGTAGGAAAGTGCGGGAACTGGAGAGATACATTGAACTGAAGACAACAGGAAAAGGAGAGTCGTGGAAGAAGGGATTCTTTGAGGTAAGTAAGCCCATAGCCAACAAAAAAATATATAAACAAGGATAGCAGGCTACTGCAAGTAACACAGAATGTTCCGACGATAGTCTTAAAAAACACAATTCTTTTTTCCAAATTAGATTTTTTTTGGCGTGGTGTGATAAAAGGATCTGAACGAAAAACTAGAGCTCAGGCATAATCGACAGTCATAGTAAAATAAGCAACTTGGAAAACAATTTTTATAGAAAAGTGACTAGAAAAGCAAAAAAAAAACAAAATTTGTTTCATATTTTTTTTCTGCAGTTTTTTGAATTTTTGATTCTAAAAAGGCGCAAAAAAACTAGACTTTGCTGCGTCAAATTTGCTGCTTCGAAATGGCAATGAGATATTTTGTTGCAACTTTGATATTTAGTTGCACCTTTAGAGCTTATTGATAGTATGGGCTTTTACATTCGAATAGTTATAAGTTTACACAGTTGATGCACTTTTAATTCATCAAGAGAACCGAAGAAAGCTATTGGTTTCAAACAACGTAACTATAATAAAATCTCGATTTCAGAAGTTTTCTAACTCAATATATCATAATTTTGGAATGCATATTTTATACATAATGTAGATATATGATTTGCGATTTTTTACATGCAAAATTGTATCTTTTTGTATTTGATGCTACTTTTGCTGCATCGAATTGGCAATTTATTAGCATATGTAGCTGCATTATTGGTTGCTAGTTTTTGTCCGTGCCTGAATGGTTAGTGCGTGAAACTCAAATTTGCTAGGTCGCAGATTTTTTGCTAGTTCGAGTTTTTGCTAAGCCTCGAGCTTTTGCAAATTCGAGGCTTATTTCTATTTTTTCTTCTGTCTTTTGATAAAGCTGCTTTTTGGTCGTGTTCTCGTAAGTGTTTGCAAAGCGAAGCTTCGCTTCTGTGTTTAAACTTTTAAGCCCTTAAAATAAGCAATTGTAGGCCTGCTCGCTCGCTTTATTCGTTCTAATTAAGACGAAAAATCAAAAATTTCAAACGGTTTTTCTCGACTCTGGAATTTTCTCAAAATCTTTTAATATCGTTCGAATTAAGGCTGAAAGGGCTTTTATATGATTATCACTCAAATCTATTCGACGATTATTTGTGGCAGCTGATTTTGCATGGAAAACAATAAAAACTAAAATATACCCGAATACAAAGTTCCTCCCAGTTTTTCAAATGGTCGGAATAACAAAATAAAAAAAAAAGAATTTATCGACGGATGCAGCGTCAGATTTAATTTCCACTACTCTAGAAAGAGTCCGCAAGAACTAATAGGGGAAAGGTAGATTTTTTGCAGGAATTTTCATTAAGAGTCAATGAACATAGTAAAGACTCCTATATAGATCTTGATAATTTTTTTCAGGAAACGCACTTTAAATTTGTTCACGCTCAAGTTCAATTATTTGCGGTTTGACTTTTTATTTCTTGTTAAGTTCAGTTCATTTTTTTGTTAAAAGGAAGGAAGGCAAACTGTAGTTTTGCTTTCAAAGTCGTTTTCACGTTTTTTTTTTTTCAGCCACAATTGTTTTACTCAACAACGCATACAGCTTTTCAAATTCAGCTGTAAAACTTTCATTTGTTTTGAAATTTATCCTCTGTTTTCAGTAAAAATTGTTTTAGGATGTCTGCAAACAAGTCGTCCATGTTTTTTTTGGTCAGAAAATCTTGATTCCACAACGCATTCAGGTGTTCAATTTGCGCTGAAATAATTTTGTATTGAAAATATCATCCGTGTGTACGCATTCAGGTTTTCAGTTTGCGCTAAAAATGTTTTGAAAATTATTCTCCGTGTGATTTGTGTAGCCGGAGGCGGATGGCCGGGAGCGGGCCAAGAGTGTTCCGGATCAGCCGGTGAGTGCAGAGTGGATGCCGGAGGAGTTGCAGTCTCTGCGGTGCGTGCTGGAGATGAGAGACGAAGAGATTCATCGACTCCGAAGGGAGATGAATGATGCCAATGCACTGGTGAGTTGAACATGTAATTACATGTTGAGTCACACCGAGAAAGGCACATGACTCGGAATCTGGAGGTCTGTGGTTCGAATTTCGGAGTTGGCTGGTTCTATTTACTTATGAAATCATATTTTCTTTAAATATGTTATTTGGACTTTCTTTTAACGCTTGCGATTAGCAAAGCGTTATCAAATCGAAAACAGGAGGGACACGTCAGCAGTTCTCTGTGATGAGCGGTACAGCTCGTATGTTGACCTTTTCTCTCGTGGATGAATGGTCTTAAAAGAATTATCTCCGAATCTTTAATTATTCCCTCCTTTTTGCAAAAGTGGGGAGATTCTTTACTGGGTGGGTACACTATTCACTTTTGCTTAACAGTTGAATTAGTTCTGTACAGGGGTGGCAATTCCTTGCTAGGTACTAAGCTTGCTAGGCGCAAACTAAGAAATTTTTACAAATCCCTCCATGTTTCAATTTTCCATCATTTTCTCGATTGTTTTACGTGTTAACTCAAATGTAGGTGGGAAGGTGGAAGAGAGCCAAATTTTCATTTAAATTACCGCACTTTTTACATCCTTTTCTGTGTTCTAGCGTGAAACCTTAATGCAGAAGGAGGAAGAATTGAGTAGCTGCAGACTACATGTGGAGAGTCTCCAAGCATCGCTGCAGATGAAGAGCGACATGGAAAAGTGAGCATATTTACTTCGTTTGCGATATTGAGATCGCTGGTTCGAGTCTCGACCTGGTCACTTTTTAGTAGAAGAGGTTCATTGTATACATGCATTTTGGTTTGGTCTTGCCTTAAATTAAAAATTGATCTATTTATTGTGTAGATTAGATCATAAGGTTATTCAGCATTTTTGATGTGGTTTTTAGGTAATAGGTTCCTGAAGCAAATAGTTTCATATTTCCTAATTAAACTAGCGATCTCGAGAGCGGCGTTTATTAGTACGAACTTTCTTTTTTTGGTAATCTAACTCGCAAATAAGAGTGTTCACTTATTATTTGGTGGCACTTTTGCTATAATCACGATCCGTAGCATTGGAAATTTCATAGCATCTGTTCTCTGCTTTCTTTGTCGCCAGCATTTCTTATTAATTAAGCGTCCATAGCTGAGTGGTTAAGGCGTGAGACTCAAAATATCTAGGTCGCAGATCGTATCCGTGACATAGCCGAATTTTTACTAGTTCGAGGCTCATTTCTATTTTTTCTTATAGCACTTTATAGAGCTGCTTTTTGTAGTGTTCTCGCTAGTTTTTGCGAAGCAAAGCTTCGCCTCTGTGTTGAATACTTGTTTCGAATTCACCAAAAGCTTGTTCTTGCTTCTCTAATTTTCAATCGCGATTTCTATTTATTTATCAGTTTCAATGGACTATCATCAATGCTTAAAGAATCGATCAATCGCCAAATACAAAAATTAGTTTATTGTCGACAAAATTGTTCTTTACAACCTTTAAAATGATTTGTTTCAGAGAATTAAGATTCAAATGCAACGAACAATCTCTCAAATTAATCGAAGGCAGAAAAGAACGCAAGAAACTGTCAACTGAAAACGAGAAACTGTCTTACCAAATGAGGGACATGGAGACTATGGTCCACTCTTTCCTAGAAAGAGAAAAAGGTGATGGCCAAGATGACAGTTGTGGCTTTTCGGCTAGTTACACTTCTTCTTCAGAACACCACAAGACGTCTAGTTTGCCATCAGAAGTATCGACCAGCCGACCGTTGTCCTTAGCAGTAAAGTAAGTCCACGAGTTCATTTGATTTCATTTTTTTCTTAGACAAAATTCATCAAATAGTGTCATTTTTTTCAATTGGTACGAATCTAATGTTGAATAGAGATGTTTCACAATTTCTTTCAGTCTTAGCAAAATTGACTAAATGCTGTTTTTTCAAAAGTTGCAAAAAAAAGATAACGACGGAAATAGTTTTTTTAAATTGAATAAAGAGGCAATGTTTTCTCTCGCTGCTGTAATTGTTGTAGTCTTCATGTTTTAAATGGAGTTTTTCGCTTTTCAGTAAATTGAATCAGACGTTTAATGGCCCAATTTCTACTCATCGGGAAACAGAAAGAAGTCTTTCTTTTTCGCCTCAACTTGAAAGCTGCGAAAGCCGATCGCCAAACGAATCATCACTGAACGTAACTGAAATTAGCTCGGCTAATTCCGAATTCAATTCTCTCGATCGATTAGGAGAGAATAAAAGTTCCTCGAGCAGCTGTAGCGAAAAGGACTCGCAATGCGGAGACAAAAGGAAACCTAGAAAACAGAAATCATTAGCTTTTACAGTTCCTTTCTAGCTGTGAATAAAAACTTGAAAAATGACTCAAAACTTTTTTTTATTGTTGACATTGTCCTGTTACACTAATTTTTAATCCTATTTAACTGAATTTCAAGTAGTTTTACGAAAGATACCTGATTATAGAAGAAAATCAGAACCTAACTTTTAACGTTAACTTCAGATGGTTGGAAGCATTGGTGCTAATCTTGAAATAGTCCATATTTTGATTTTAATTCAAAATTTTCATTGTCCGACTTGATTTATTAAATCGAATAAATATTCAGTTGAATTCAATTTTGCAGATATTGTTTTTTTAGTGCACATAGTCATACCCGTGGAGCGTAGTGACATTTTGCGATATCTATTTTTTTTATGACACAAGTCGAAAATAAGATGCTCATTTATTTGGTGACACTTAGCAGCAATTACAATGTATCTGATTTAATTCAGCTGCATAACTTAATATATTTTTATTTGGTTCAATGGTGGATAGTGTTTTTTCCAACTGTTTGTTGGCTGTGTTATTGTTCCGACTTTCGAAGAAAATGGAATAATTATGCTCGGTGTGGTTTTTTAATTCAGTCAATTTTCACCGATCGAAATAATAAATTTCAACAATTTTTTTTTCTATACCCCATTGAAAATATCAACTTCTTGAGTTCAAATGTAAAAAGATATTTCACCGATAATTTTTTGTATAGTTCTGAGGGTTTGAAAGTTGCCAAATTTGCCATGTTTTGGACTAAATTATGTTTTGAAGATTTTATTCATAATACTGAGAGCTTAACGCGAATTATTTATAAGTGGCGAATTCTCCCGCTCAACAAAATCGTTTCGAATTGAATTCAGGCTAGCTATTGGTCGTATTCATTTCGTACGACTCAAAGTTTTACACATTAATATTGTCCAAAATGTATAGGTTTTCAGTATTTTTTTCCCAAAAAATATTCGATATGAATTATGGGACAGTCGGAACATTCCGGGCTTTGCCTAATAACCGAGCAATTTTGTTAAGAGTAATGGACGTAGTGAAGACTTGCATAGGTCTTGCTAATTTTTTTTTTTCAGGAAGTCTTAAATTGTGCATAAAAGTCTCTAATGACTACAGATGTGCATTCAGACATATTGATGCATCTATGAATGCACTCTGGTATATACACTTTTTGAGTTCAATTGAAATTCATCAGCTGAAAGTGGCGTCATTAGTACTCTCCGAATATGAACGCGGAAAAAGCGCAAAAAAACGTGAGCGATTTCTAGTTTCGAAAGTGGAATTTAGAGTGTAGATTTCCAAGGAGATAAAAACTTTACCTGTTAATCCAGTTTTCTCAAGTTGGGTTCATGTTATCAAAAAAGCGCCAACTATAAATCGTTCTAGAAATTCAAACAGCTTAAAGGGCTTCTATGTTTTCTTTGAAATTCGAAAGTTAATTCAACAATACCAGGGTTTTTTATGTTTACTTGCGTTCAATACTCGTTTCCAACATCGATTGGCTATGTTTAAAGAATATTATGCGACCGTAGCGCAGTTATTAGGACGTGTGACTCTTATTTTTGTCCGGAACCTTGCATAATTTCTTCGTTTTTATTTTTTCTCTCTTGTCTTTTTTACCCTCTTAGAGCAAATTTTTCCTTTTTTTAACGAATTTCGAAGCAAAAAATGGACGTTTTAAACGTGTTTTTTTTTTAAAAATGGGTTGAGATTAGACAAAAAAAGAAATGAGCATTAAATCCAAATATATATGCGAAGCCCTGAATGTTCCGACTCGATGGCGAATTGGTTTTCAATTTCATCAAACTAAATGTTAAGGGTTGAAGTGTTTTGATCTGCAGCTTTCATAATAGCAAAAAAACTATAAAAAATAACCTAAATAAATGCATGTAGTTCTTAAGCAGGGGCGCAACAGCGGTTCGCCGTGATGAGCTGTATAACTCGTATGTTGGTCCTTTTCCCTCGTAGATCAATGGTCTTAACTTAAATAACTTGAATTTCATTTCTAATCCTCCATATTTCCTTTGAACATATCAATTGGCTTAAATGTTTATTGGCACTGCGGGTTTGTTGCCCATCATAACAGTCTTCATCTAACAGTTTATTATATCAGTATTAGTTCTTAGTTTCCCTGGTCTCACTTGATCAATTCTTGGTTTTTCACATTGAAAGAAAGCCGTTAATCCACGAGTAAAATTCAGAAACTAGGTATGCCATAACTCCCCGCCAGTCAACGCTACTCGAGATTGGCAAGTCAGCAACTCCATACGAACACTTTTTAACATCTGCTCCTGTATTGAAAATTGGGGCACCACTGTTCCTGTTTAAGAGCGTTGTTTCATTCGCACCTAAAGAAATTGTTTTACATTTTAATACCGTTCTTAAACATTTTCAATTTTTCATATGATTTTTCAGGTTGACATATTTCTCTGAATTATCAAAAATAAAAAAAATTTTTTAAAAAATTTGCTTTTAACATAATTACGCTTGCGATAAGCAAGCGTTATCAAATCAGAATAGACTTTTTTCGGGAAAAAACTAGTTTTAAAAAATTTTAATCAGTTAGCATGGCCGTTCTAATCACCCCTTCCTATTCCCAGGTTCCTTCTATAAAGTCTGGGGTCGTGTCTTAGCCGGACCTTGATGGTCTGACCATTGAAAATGGGGAGGAACTTTTTAATCGGGTGTTCTAGTTTTTTCTTTTTTTTCCATGTAAAATCAGGTACCAGAAATAATTCGTTTTCCATGTAAAATCAGGTACCACAAAAAAATCATTGGATTGGGTTGAGTGATGTATCTTATTGAAGCTCTTTCAGTCGTGATTCGCAAAAAATCAAAAAACTTTGAAATTTTTTCCCAGTTTTGAGAAAAATTGGTTGGATATTTTTTTTCGCCTAAATACGAGCTAATAACGCTTATTTATGCTTAATTTAGGCCGTTTACAAAAGCTTATTTATGCTTAATTTTAATTTACTCGAATAAATTAGTTTTTGAGCTTTCAAACGCCATTTCGCGAATCAAAAACTTGAAATTGAAAAAATTCGCAAAAAAAAAATTGAAAAATTTTGTTTTTTAGTCATTTTTACTGAAGAAATATAATGCCCCAACTTTACTTTTTTATGACGTTTAAGACTCTAGATCCGTTGATAACGAGATCAATTTGTCAAAGTTTGATTTGGAAGTCGACCGTATTTTGATACGCCATATTCATACTTGCAAGCTTGCGAGCGTTCGTGCATTAAAACGAAACTTCACTTTTTCTAATCTAACTTGCAAATAAAAGTGTGCATTGAAAGTTTTCACTTATATGGAAATTTCCTTGCAGCATTGAAAATTGCTTAGCATCTGTTTTCTGATTTTTTGTGGCTGGTGTTTATGATTAATTAAGCGTCCGTGGCGGAGTGGTTAAGGCGTGAGACTCATTATATCTAGGTCGCAGACCGAATCCGAGACAGTCGAATTCACTAATTTGATTTCACTAATTGGAGGCTCATTTATATTATTTTATTGCACTTTATAGAGCTGATTTTTATAGTGTTCTGGCTAGTGTTTGCAAAGCAAAGCTTCGCTTCTGAGTGAACTGAGTGAATAACAGGTTTAACGCATGTTTGGTAAGTTTGGTGCTATTGCTGTTTTTTAAAGAATTTTACGCACTTGATAAATAATTCAGCTTTGTATTAACAACTTATATTTAACTTTTAAATTCCAGTTTTTCAACGAGATTCATCCAAATATTTGAAAATGAAATTTTGCTCAATCTCTTCTTTGTTCATTTTAAATTAGTAGTTAATCTTTCATTCCTTTTTGTGAACTTAACTAATTTGGTTTTATTTAGGTTTTAAGTCAGTTGCTTTCAGCCAGTTGCTTAAGTCAGGTGCTTTCGTCCAATCAAGAATGAGCTTTTGTCAATGTATTTTCAGAGTTTTTATCAGTATTGAGTTTTCCGACTGAATTTTAATGGCTGTGTCATCAGCATAGAGATAAGCGTCTCTGTTTTTATTCAATTTTTGTATATCATAAATAAAGAGAACGAAAAGTAGTGGTGGTCCCAAAACTGAGCCCTGCGTGATTCCGCTGTCTTTATTTTGACTTTGGCAATTTGATTCTGTTGATGCTTATATGCTGATTACTTTTAGATAAAAATAAAATTGGAATATCATATGCTGGTCCTCTTATACCGTAATCATAACCTTGGTTTAAGGAACTTGTGATCAACTGATGCAAATGTTTTGTTATATACATCAAGAAAAGTACACTGAATTTCAATGGATTGCTTGTCCCATTAAAATCTGATTTCTTCTACTTAAGAAGCAATAGCGTCAATTGTATTTCATTTTTGTCTGAATCTGAAGTGAGAATGATGTAGTATGTATTGCCGAGTGATAAAATCTAAACTTCGGTTGTAAATTAAAAGTTTAGTGTTTTACAAAAAGCGGGTAAAAATGAAATTAGACTAAAGAGTACGAGTTCTATAAACGGGAAAAAAAAATTTTTGAAGATTTTTGTTCATATTTTTGAAAAAAAAATACATATCGAATTGCAAAACTCAAAACGATTTGCAATTTGTGTCAAGTTATTTGAAACAATTAGTTCTCTTGGATGTTTTTTTTTCGCTTTCACCTCGTTTCTTCCCATTTCAACATACCGAAACTTTGAAGTGAGAAAAAACGGAAAAAAACCTAATATGTTTTGCAACTAAAAAAAATGATTTCAATGCTACGAATTTTGTACAGTTTGCGTACTTTAGACGGCTTTTTTTCATTTTCAATCTCAAAATTCAATTTAAAATTTGAAAAACTATTCCAACTATGTCACAACGCTAAAAAAGTTTGCATGGTGAGCTAAATTTTGTGAACAGAATTGTTCGTCCTTCGTCACTTCGTAACTTTGCAAATCTAGTCATAATAACTCGTAAAACAACTATAAAATAAAAAATTTGAAGTGTGTGTGTGTGGGGGGGGGGGGGGGGGGTAAAAAGAGCTTTTTGATGAAACTTTGTACTCAATTTGAGATAACTTGTTCTATAAGTACTACTCCTTCCTGTGAACATTCTCTAAAATCAGTCACTTTTTGTACAAAATGGGCAAATTTAATTGGAAAGATTAAATTATCTCGCAATTAACGATGGACTTTGAATCAACTCATGGTCAAAATCTCCTGCGAAAAAAGCTTGAGACTGAACTTTGGATTTATTTAGACTTTTTATTTTAAAAAATGATGCTAGTGAATGGATGACGCTATGTGCTTAAACTTTATCATCAGAGAGATTTTCAATTTGGGACGAGGAAAAGGAAAAGAGTTTAACCCATTACG